TGTCTGTGTAGTATGCTGTTTTTAAGTCCTTTGGGTATAGACCGAGGAGTGGGATAGCTGGGTCAAAAGGTGGTTTCATTCCCAGTTTTCCAAGGAATTTCCATACTGCTTTCCATATTGGTTGCACCATTTGCGGTCCCACCAGCAATGTATGAGTGTGCCTTTCCCCCCACATCCTTGTTAACAATTACTGTTGTTTGTATTCTTAATAGCTACCATTCTGACTGGAGTGAGATGAACTCTTAGAGTAGTTTTGATTTGCATTTCTCTAATTGCTAGAGATGTTGAACATTTTTTCATATATTTGTTGATTGATTGTATATCACCTTCTGAGAAGTGTCTGTTCAGTTCCTTGGCCCATTTATTGATTGGGTTATTTGGTTTTTTGGTGCTTAGCTTTTTGAGTTCTTTATATACCCTAGAGATAAGTGCTCTATCTGATGTGAAAGTGGTAAAAATTTGCTCCCAAGCTTAGGCTCTATATTCACCTCACTGATCCATCCAATTTATTAATTCTTGATTTTAATTCTTGTGCTATAAGAGTGTTATTAAGGAAGTTGGGGCCTAATCCACATGATGGAGATTTGGGCCTACTTTTTCTTCTAATAGACCTGCACAGTGTCTCTGGTTTGATTACTAGGTCCTTTAACCACTTTGGGTTGAGTTTTGTACAGGTGAGAGAGAGGGATTTAATTTCATTTTGTTGCATATGGATTTCCAGTTTTCCCAGTACCATATCTTTTCTACAATGTATGTTTTTGGCACCTTTGTCTAATGCAAGATAACTGTAATTATATATGGGTTAGTCTCTGTGTCCTCTATTCTGTACCATTGGTCTACCAGTCTATTTGGGTGCCAATACCATGCTATTTTTGTTAGTATTGCTCTGTAGTATAGTTTAAGGTCTGGTATAGTGATGCCACCTGATTCACTCTTCTTGCTAAGGATTGCTTTAGGTATTCTGGGTCTCTTATTTTTCCAGATGAATTTTATGACTGCTTTTTATATTCTATGAGGAATTTCACTGGGATTTTGATTAGAATTGCATTATAATGCTGTATGATGCTTTTGGCAGCATGGTCATTTGGACAATACTAAGTCTACCTATCCAAGAACAAGGGAGATCATTCCATCTTCTAAGGTCGTCTTTAATTTCTTTCTTAAGCATTCTGTAGTTTTTTTGTAGAGGTCTTTCACCTCTTTTGTTAGGTTGATTCCCAATTATTCTGTTTTTTTGAGGCTATTATAAATAGGGTAGTTTTCCTCATTTCCCTTTCAGATCATTTGTCACTGATATACAGAGATGCCTTTGATTTATGAGTGTTGATTTTATATCCTGCTACTTTGCTGAATTCATTTACTAGTTCTAGAAGTTTTCTGGTGGGATCTATATCTTATAGATATAGAATCATATCGTCGACAAATAGTGCTAATTTGAGTTCTGCTTTACCTATTCATACCCCTTTAATTTCTTTTGTCTAATTGCTCTGGACAGTGTTTCAAGAACTATTTTAGATAGAAGTGGTGAAACAGGACATCCCTGTCTTGTTCTGGTTTTTAGAGGGAATGCCTTCAATTTTTCTCCATTTAGAATGATATTGGCCTGGGGCTTAGTGTAGAGAGCCTTTACAATGTTGGGATTGTTCTGTTGTACCTAATTTTTCTAGTGTTTTGAACATGAAGGGTGCTGTATTTTGTCAAATGCTTTTTCTGCATCTTATTGAGATGATCATATAATTCTTATCTTTAAGTCTATTGATGTGATGAATTTACATTTATTGATTTCTGTATGTTGAACCAACCTTGCATCCCTAGGATGAATCCCACTTGATCATGGTGCACTATCTTTTTGATATGTTTTTGTATTCGATTTGCCGGAATTTTATTGAGGATTTTTGCATCTATGTTCATTAGAGATTGATCTGAAGTTTTCTTTCTTTGATGTGTCTTTGCCTGGTTTTTGGAATCAAGCTGATATTGGCCTTATAGAATGAGTTTGGAAGTGTTCCCTCTTTTCCTATTTCCTGAAATAAATTGAAGAGTATTGGTATTAGTTCTTCTTTAAAGGTCTTGTAGAACTCGGCTGTGTAGCCGTCCAGTCCTGGGCTATTCTGGTTGGTGTCTTGTATTTCGTCACTTGAAATTGATCTGTTTAAATTGTGTATATCATCCTGATTCAATTTGGGCAAATCATGTGACTGTAGAAATTTGTTGATGCCTTTGATATTTTCTATTTTATTGGACTACAAGTTTTCAAAATAATTTCTAATTATCTTCTGTATTTCTGTAGTGTCTGTTGTGATATTTCCTTTTTCATCACTGTATGTTAGTAACTTGAGTTTTCTCACTCCTTCTCTTTGTTAGCATGGCTAAGGGTCTGTCAATTTTATTTATTCTTTCAAAGAACCAACTTTTGTTTTGTCAATTTTTTCAGTTGTTACTTTTTTTTTCAATTTCATGGATTCCTGCTCTGATTTAATTATTTCCTGACTTCCATGAAATAAACTTTCCTCTTAGTGTCCTTCTTAGTGCCTTCTTAGTGTCCCAGAGAGTTCGATACATTATATCTGTGTTCTCATTCACCTCTAAAAATTTTTAATTTGCTTCTTGATGTCTTTAGCAACCCATTGTTCATTCAGTAGTATATTATTTAGTCTCCAGGTGTTGGAGTAGCTTTTATTTTTTATTTTATCATTTTTTTCTAATTTCATTCCATTATCATCTGATAGAATGCAGGGTAGTATCTCTACTTCTTTATATTTGCTAAGAGTTGCTTTGTGGCATAATATATGGTCTATTTTAGATAAGGATCCATGTGCTGCTGAGAAGAAAGTGTATTTGCTCATTGAAGGATGAAATATTCTATATATGTCAGCTAAGTCTAAGTTATTGGTTGTATTATTGAGTTCTATAGTTTCTTTGTTCAGCTTTTGTTTGGATGATCAATCCAGTGGTGAAAGAGGTGTGTTAAAGTCACCCAGCATTATTGTGTTGTGCTCTTTTTGACTCTTGAATTTGGGAAGAGTTTGTTTGATGAACATAAACACTCCATTGTTTGGGGTATATATATATATATATATATGTATTAACTTTATGTTTTGTTGATGAATGGTTCCCTTAAGCAGTGTGAAATATCCTTCTTTATCCCTTTTGAGTAACTTTGGTTTGAAGTCTACTTTATTTGATATGAGAATGGAAAACCCTGCTTGCTTCTGCCATCCATGGGAGTGTTATGATTTTTCCCAACCTTTCACCTTCAGTTTCTGAATGTCTTTTCCTATGAGTCTCTTGGAGGTAGCATATTTGGGGGCCTTTTTAAAAAAAAAAATCTAATTTGCCAGTCTATGTCTTTTGATTGGTGAGTTTAGGTCATTAACATTCAGGGTTATTATTGAGTCATGATTTGTATTCCCAGTCATTTTTATTTATTTTTGGTATTTAACTTGACTTGGTTTCTCCTTTGATTAGTTTTTCCTTTATTGTAATACCTCCCTGTGCTGATTTTCATTGCTGTTTTTCAATTCCTCATGGAATATTTTGCTGAGGATGTTCTGTAGTGCAGGCTTTCTAGTTGTAAATATTTTTAACGTTTGTTTATCAAGGAAGGATTTTGAGATCACTGAGAACTAAGATAAATACTTTGAAGGGTAACATGAAGAAAATATCTTAGTACTTGACCCATTTAGTTTCGGTTCTTTTTATTATGCAGACAGTGGGTAGTCTTTTCCTTAGACTGTGAGCTATAGCTTATATTAGACACATGTGAGGCCCTGGGTTCGATCCTCAACACCACATAAAAATAAATAAAATAAAGATATGTGTCCAACTACAACATATATATATATATATATATATATATATATATATATATATATATATAGAAAGAAAGAAAGTCACATTATAGTACATTCACTCTTAATTTGATCTGGAGGGCTCTTGGGTTTGTCCTATAAGTTCTCTTTTCTAAGTAACCTCATCTACTTACAAATTTACATGTGTAAGCATTGAATCTTTCCACTGACTGGCTCCATTGCTTGTTTTAATTTTATCTCACATATTCGTTTTGAAGTATTTGCAAAAGTATGTTTGCACACAGAGAAATACACAAGATCCTGAGTTTGTGTGGTAGTACGTTGTGCCTTCCTATTTTCCATTAATGTATGAATCTATTTATGTGCAACAGTCCAGGAGTTTTGTGTACAAATTTGTGTTTTACTTTGAATTCACTGCTGTAACACCAATGTAACCCACATTTAATCCTTTAAGAATGGGGAAAAATAAACAGTGAAATCAACAAGTAGCAAAGAGATGATGAAATCTTCCCAAGAAAGTTGAGACTGATATGCAGGTGACATGTTATTATTTTAAATTTGTCTTTTAATAGATTCAGAAGCTGCCTAGATCTTTAATTCCTTAGAATCTTTAACTTTAATTCATTTTCTGATAATAAAATGAGCATGGACCTGGGGATGTGGCTCAAGCGGTAGCGTGCTCGCCTGGCATGTGTGCGGCCCGGGTTCAATCCTCGGCACCACATACAAAGATGTTGTGTCCGCCGAAAACTAAAAAATAAATATTAAAAAAATTCTCTCTCTCTCTCTCTCTCTCCCCGCCCCCCTCTCACTTTCTCTTTAAAAAATAAATAAATAAATAAATAAAATGAGTATTGTTTGTTTTCAGCATTTTTATTACTAAAAATTTGAAAGCATAATACGCAGAAGACAAATGGATTTTTCGCTCCCTAAAGATTATGGCTGATAAAAAGATATTTGCTACAAAATTAAATAAGACTTAAAAGAGAGATATAATTAGAAAAAAGTTCCTTTGTTTCTTCAAGTTCACATGCAAACATAGCTTTAGTGTACATGGAAATTTGGACAGTGTTAACTTTAGTGTTAATTGTGCCTTAGTTTCAATTGTAGTTCTGATTCTTTTATTCTGAACTTTAATGGCAAACTGCATTCAGCATTGTTTAAATTCAGTTTTTGCCTGCCTTCCAGATGTATCATCGAATCCGGCACTCAGAGTGCATCTACCGGGTAACCATGGAAAAGCTGTCCTACCACAGCATTTGCACTGCTGAGGAGTGGCAAGGCCTCATGCGCTTCAACCTCCCTTTGCGGCTCTGCAAAGAAATTGAGCTGTAAGTATTTCACTTGGTTAGTTTCTTCAGCAGCAGATTCTCAGTTTCATTGAAAAAAAGTAAACCAGGTTGTAGAATTAGAATCACAGTTATAATGAATTAATCTAAATGCTAGCATGTATTATTACTCTGTTGCGTACTTTACACTATATAATATTTAATGTTCAAAATGGCATTTAATGTCAGATACATAAAGTTTTCATCTACATAACTTTGCATTTTTATATTTATGAAATTCTTATTTCAGTTTAAAAAGGAGAACAATTTCAACTCCAACAATACTTTCAATAAAATCCCCCCCTATGCATTTTCTAGTATCAATAGTATAACTTTTGGTGCTTATTTCTCTGATAACAACAGCAGCATTTTTTTTAATGGTTCAATTTTTAATAAGTTCTTGACTAGTCAAAACTAATCTTTTTTTAATTTATAAAATTTGCTTTAATTAGTTATATATGACAGTAGAATGCATTTATGCACTTTGATATATCATACATAGATGTGGTATAATTTCTCATTTTTCTGATTGTACATGTTATAGAATTACATTGGTCCTGCAGTCATATATATATATGTTTTCATAAAGTAGTAACATCTGTTTTGTTCTACTCTCTTAAAGAATTGGTAAAGCAGGTTTGAAATAAGACATTATTACAACAGCAGCATATTTTTTAATGGATTGTTTAATAGAAATAAAGCCAGAGATATATTAAGTTCCTAAGGGAATATGTGGAATCTCCCAAAAACTTTCAGTGCCAGGCAGGAGTGACTGAGAAGTCAGAGAAATAATGGCCATGATCCTGGGGTCTTTTTGGTTTCTTGATAGAAAAAACCGTTTAAATGATTTTCTTTACTTTCTGTGTGCCCTGCTTGCTTTTAGTAATAAACTACCCTTTTAATTTCAGGTTCCACTTTGACATTGGTCCTTTTGAAAGCATGTGGCCTGGGATCTTTGTCTACATGGTTCATCGGTCCTGTGGGACGTCCTGGTATGAAGGCTCTGAATGCTGTCTGTGTACAGTCTGCAGTGACATGACTCCCTCCTTCCCTTGCTCATGCACCTCACCTTTTTTTGTTTACAATCCTTTTCAATATGACATATATGAATTTGTTTCTAAATATTTAAGTTAAAATGGGCTGGTTTTGTTGGGCAAAGCAGCAGCCTTTTCAGATTTTCCATAATGACTGCTGAGTCCCCAGCAGTCTGAAGCCTGGTTCACAGCCATACATCTAAGAGGCGTCATAGAAATATGTTACAGGCTGTGTGGCTGAAGGAGGCAAAGCTTGCTTCTTGGCAGAATTACCTGCTTTAGAAGCTCTTAGAAAGCTCTGCATAAACAGAGCATCAACTATATATCTTATCAGTTTGTGTGTAAAATAAAAAGTCTCCACATTCAAAGTGTGATACATCGCCAGTAATTACAGTTTGATCTCATTGCACATCTCTACCTATTTGGCCTGCCTGTTCTATGGGCCTTTGTGCCTTTAGCTCTGATCTTTTGCAGCTTAAATACACAAACTTAAAATGCAAGCATTAGTTTTCTTTTGCACTTTTTGACTCATTTAGGCATAAATGCCTCCCAGAGTCTCTCCCTCTCCTTTGCCTCCCCCATCTACCCCCTCTCTCTATATATGCAGTTTGTGAATATGAATATTTTTTTTTTAAATATTGGCTCAATAAATCTTTGAGCAAGATGATGTTACGTGATAGTTTTTTTTTGAGTACTGTGGGGCCTAGAAAATGCTGGTAAACATGAGGTGCATGCATGGGGGTTAATGATGGAGACTGCATGCTGGCTCTGCTGCTTATCCCTAGCGGGACAGTTAATATATCTGAACATAACCCATGAAAGAATCTCTTGCTTCATTTTGGCTGGAGAAAGAGGAGAGAAGAGATCATTTTCCAGTAATCATGGTTCAGCAGTCAGTGTGGGAATCCTTGTAGTGCAGATGTGTAAGGAGTAGAAATGTGTAACTCAGCCAGAGGCTCTTCTGAAAATTAGTGGTTCTCTGCTGGCTTTGGTTTTAAGAGTTTCTTTTCCTCACAGCTTTGAGCTTGAAAAGTTGTGTCGTTTCATTATGTCTGTGAAGAAGAACTACCGACGGGTTCCTTACCACAACTGGAAGCATGCGGTCACGGTGGCACACTGCATGTATGCCATATTGCAGAACAATTATGGGCTCTTCACAGACCTCGAGGTGGGTGTGCACACCCTTGCCCCTTTCACGCCATCTCAGTGGATTCAGCGCAAACTGATAACATGCCATGGTGACCTGCTGTTTCAGGACAAATTTTGTGTCAGTAAATTAGAAGCTGCACATTTTTTTAGATTCAGTACCCAAGAATTTAGCATATTCTTTTTTATAAGAAAGTAGATAAAGAAATTTCAACTTCACCAAAATATTCTTCAAGGAAATACTAATTTTGTAGGCTTTCTTTCTGATTGAATTTTAAATGTTTTGAAAGGATATAAGCAAAGTGAATTCTATATGCCCTGGTTAATATGGACACATCTCACCAAATAGAGGATTCAGAACATTAAATACAGTGAAAACCAAAAATGATTTTTTAATTTACGCTAGCATAAGGAAACAGATCTACCTAATGTTACAAACGAGTTGGTAACCACCCAAAGCTTCCAAAATAGAATATTCAAGATTTCGAGACTTTCTTCCCCATTTAACCACTATAGTCAAATTCCCTTATTGGAAAGCCCAGTTAAGCACTGAGCCCTCCTTGGCCCCAGAGATTCTGATCCCACAGCTAGATGACCTGAACCTCAAGTATGCCCCTCTGACCACACTTGTCCTGATGATGCCTACCAACACTCTGATCCAGTCCCCCTTTATCCCCTCTGTAGACTGGTGTCACACTTCAGGTGACATCTGGTTGTGCAGAGGAGGAAACCCATTACTTGAACTTCTTTTTGAGATCACTTTCAAATTAGAACCCAGTATTCCTGAGATCCAGCCTCTTCTTTTTCCACCCTTTCTGTCCAGATTCACAGTCTGCAGCAGTCTTGAAAGGTGGATTCCAGAAGGAGAAATGGCCATTTCAGAGAAGGAATCAAAAGTATTCCTCTTTTAAATTTTTTTTTTTTAGTTGAAGCAGAGTTTAAACTAATAAATAATGTATTATTTATCACCTCTCAAGAAAAAGATCCAAATGAAATATGTTATTTTTCCACATTTAAACAATTTGCAATTCTACTAAAACCCCATTCTTTTGGGACTTTCAACATTTTCTCCATTTAATTCCTCTTAAGGAAGCAACTTCATTGTTTCCTTTTGCCATAAGATATCTTAGTGAGTTTAAGAATTTTATAAATTACACTTTCAAATAGAGTAGCAATGAAATTTGTATTTTGAAGATTGAAAATTTAAAGGTAAATAAGAAAAATTTTATTGATGCCATATTCCTAAATTATTTCTGGAATTATATATTTTCATTTCCCCCAAACTCAGGACTTGTTGGCTAAAAATCATCCCAAATTTTTAAAATATTTTAAAAATATTTTAGGATATGTGATTAGCTCTAGTAGGGCTATTAGAAATTATTTGATGTCAGTAAAGGAAAATGTTTTACAAAAATAATTCTTTGTAAGTCATTTTCAGATTTATGATTTTAGCATACTTTTTTATAAAACTGTTGAAAGTTGTGCCAATAAAAAGTAATAAAAACATTGGAAAGATTGGAATATAACAGGTTTCATCTATTGTGCTAGATTTTAAAACCTTGGAATTTTTTACCAGATAAATTATGTGACTATAGCAGCATAAAATATGGAAACAATTCAAAACCAAAGTGATACTCAAAACCTTAACTGATTCCGTTACCTTTAATACCCAGCATATGTGGTTGGTAAGATGACACTATATCTATTAAGGTGTGCGAGTGACTGGTGAGACTTCCTTTCCAGTCAAGCTGCAGGAGAAGGCAGTTGTATTACATCAAGATGAAGAAGGAGCGGGATGTGAAAAGAAAAGTACACTTGGGAGAATGTCTGCTGACTCCCATGGTGACCTCCCAGAGTAGCACCTGCCCTCAGCAGGCTCCGCCTGTGCAGTTCCACTCCAGCATACTCCATGACTCACCCTCTGTGAGAACACAACCGTCTCCATTGCCATACCTTCCCTCTTTTAGATCATCCCATCTGTTACAATTCATTTGGAAGAATTAAAGGTGCAGAATAGCCAAAGCAATTCCAAGCCCAAAAAGCATGCTGGAGGTATTAAAATACCTGACTTCAAATTATACTACAGAGCTACATTAACAAAAACTGCATGGTATTGGCATAAAAACAGACATATAGACCAATGATACAGAATAGAAAACAGAACACAGTCATTTGATCCTCAACAAAGGTGCCAAAAACATACATAAGAGAAAAAAAACAACCTTTTAAACAAATGATGCAGGGGAAATTGGATTTCCATATGTAGAAGAATGAGACTAGACACATATTTCTCATCCTGCACCATAATAAACTGAAAATGGATCAAAGACCTAGGAATTGGACTAGAAATTATGCAAATCCTGGAAGAAAACATAAGTCAATTCTCCAGCATATAGACACAGGCAAGGACTTTCTCCATAGGACATTTCTCCCTAAAGCTCAGGAAACAATGCCAGGAGCTAATGAGTGGGTTGGCATCAAACCTTAAAGCTTCACAGCACAGGAAACAATTAGGAATGTGAAGAGAGAACCCACAGATGGGAGAAAATCTTTGCCAGCTATTCTGACAGAGGATTAACATCTAGAATATATAAAGAACTCAAAAAACTTAACATCAAGAAATCAATTAACCCAGTTAATAAATGGGCAAGGAATTAAACAGACACTTTTTAAAAAAAGAAATACAATAATTATGAAAACATGTTCAACACTATTAGCAACTGGGGAAATGCAAATTAAAACTACACTGAGATTTTATATTACACCAGTCAGACTGGCAGTCATAAAGATTACAAATAATAATAAATGCTGGAGAGGATGTGGAGAAAAAGAAACACTTTTACACTATTGGTGGGATTATAAATTAGTGCAACCTAAGGAAATCAGTATGCAGGTTACTCAAAAAACTAGGCACAGAACCACCATATGACCCAGCTTTACCACTTCTTCAGAAGGTTAAAGTCATCACAAGATAGTGATAAGTGCATATCCATGTTTATAGCAGTGCAATTCATAATAGCCAAGCTATGAAACCAGCCTAGGTGTCCCATCAATGGATGAATGGATAAAGACAATGTTATGTATATATATACACAATGGAGTTTTATTCAGCCATAAAGAAAAATGAGGCTGGGTGTGGTGGTGCATGCCTGTAACCCAGTGGCTCTGGGAGGCTAAGGCAGGAGGATTGCAGGTTCAAAGCCAGCCTCATCAAAAGTGAGGCCTAAGCAACTCAGTGAGATCTTGTCTGTAAATAAATACAAAACAGGGCTGGGGATGTGGCTTAGTGGTCAAGTGCCCCTGAATTCAATCCCTAGTAGCCAAAAAAAAAAAAAAATTATGTCATATGCAAGAAAATGGATGGAACACGAGACCTTTATGTTAGGTGAAGTAAGAAGGTCCAGGGTTGTATGTTTTCTCTCAGATGTGGAAGCTAGAGAAGAAAAGGAAAAAGGGGGGGGGGGGGGGGG